TTTTTAAATGTTTGTTTTTACTTTTTTTCTCTGTGGAGTTTCTGTCGTATCAACCTTATATCATTTGTTGAAATAGGAAAATGTTTTTTGTTTTGTTTTTGATCGTTTGGTTATTTGTTTTGAGTCTGTGATGTCTGCTTTTTGGCTGTAACAAGTAATTGTTTGGTTAATGAATGTGTTTTGAAATGAGATGGATATGTTTTATATTTAGTTACAAATGGTGTATGTAAAAGATTGTATTTATATGTTTTTGAAATATGTAATAAATGAAAAAAAAAGGAAAAAAAAAAAAAAAAAAAAAAAAAAAAAAACAATTTGCACGACTCTTTGTGCGACCTGAATATTGCATTTATATAGAAGCGGCGGGTCCATCGCAGCGCGGTGGAGTATTCATCATAGAAGCGGTGGGTAAAAATTGAGCGTTTTCTGTTGTCGATAAGTTTTTGATAGAAATTTGCTTTATGTTTTAACTTTTTACGGGAAACACAGGGTGAGACTGAAGCCCTCATATCTTCAAACTCAATGGTAGGATACTACGTCATCGCGCACCTGCTGAATGCTCCCACTTGGACCATTTTTTCGTCGACTCGAAGGTAAAATACAATTTTATTATAAGAAAACGTAAGAGTATTAAAAAATCATGTAGCGCACCAAAGAATGGCTATAGTACTTGAGATAATTGTAAAAAAAGTTTATAGATTCATAGCCTGATTTAGGACTGAAAACGGGATAAGTGTTTTTCTCTGAATGCTCCCACTCGGACTTTTCCCGAAACGTATATGAAATAGGGTTGAAAACCTTCTTGAAAATTAGTTTTAACGTACCGGAACATAAACCGAGTCATGTGTACCCATTACGCTAGATTAGTTTCAAATATTTCTATTCAGAAGTCAGTTTTTTCTTAATTCTTTTTATAAAAATGGAAAATGCTCCCACTCGGACTCAACTTCAGAGATGCTCCCACTCGGACCTAAATATATATAAATTTTGAAAGCACATTGCTGTGTTAAGATATTACTATATTTTAAAATATCTTTATATTCAAGTTCATATATTCATATAATTAGTTAGAATTCAGTGAAACAGCATTTTTAAAATACGATACTATAATATATTTAGATCACTAAAGTTGTGACATATTATATCATAACAGTCTCGAAAATTTGTCTTCTTAGAGGATCAGTTATCGGCCTCAGAATTAGGGGAAAAAAGGTTGTATTAAAACAATTCCTCGTTAAATAGAGTCGCTGAAATAAGAAACAAATTGATTATACATTTTAAAAATATAATAACGTTTTGTTTTGCAGAAAGTATTTGTGTTTGTGACCAGTATGGAAAAGGTATAAATTACATTGCGACGTAAGGAAGCACATGGTAGGACATCTTGGCACGGCATAGCTGGAGCAAATATTGTATATACCAACAGTGGATATATCTCAGTGAGGAGGAATACCCTAGAAAACACAAGAATAATAGCTCTTTGAAGTAATTGTCTTTTGTTCAGTTGTTGCGTTAATTTTTAGCTCGACTATTCGATTAGAATAAGTAGAGCTATTGTAGTCACCCGAGCGTCAGCGTCGGCGTCTGCGTCGGCGTCGGCGTAACCACTTATGTCCATTGACATATGGCTTTGAAACTTTGCACACTTGTTCACCATTATGACCCCAACCTGTAGACAGGAGGAGGAAACTCTATCAAGCATTTGGACAGAATTATGCCCCTTTTTCGACTTAGAATTTACGTTAAAGTTTTTGTAATACCTCAAATATTTTCAAAGTCCATTGACATATGGCTGTGAAATTTTGTACACTTGTTCACCATCATGACCCCAACCTGTAGACAGGAGGAGATAACTGTATCAAGCATTTTGACAGAATTATGCCCCTTTTTCGACTTAGAATTTACGTTTAAGTTTTTTTTTTTAATACCTCAAATATTTTCAAAGTCCATTGACATATGGCTTTGAAACTTTGCACACTTGTTCACCATTATGACCCCAACCTGTAGACAGAGGGAGATAACTGTATCAAGCATTTTGACAGAATTGTACCCCTTTTCTGACTCAGAATTTACGTTAAAGTTTGAATACCACCTCAGATATTTTCATATACTATTGACTTATGGCTTTGAAACAAGTTGAAATTTTAACTCCTCTTTTAGAGCATAATAGGACTCTCTTCAAGGCCTATAACAGTAACATGGATTTAAAGGAAAATTTGGCCCTTTTGTTAACTTAGAAAACTTTACATTATCAAAGCTCTTTTACTATCAAGCACTAAGAATAGTCGAGCGTTGCTGTCCTATCGACAGCTCTTGTTAGACAATGTGTCATAAAGGATCAATTTATCTGAAACTTCACTGGGGAAAGATTTCAATAAAGTAAAATACCGCAAACAAGAATGACAACTCTGGAAAACTGGTGTTTCAAGAAACGAGTTTAACATCAAATAAGAAACAGGACAAAAATCTTTCGGTTTATCCCCCCACTTAATTCTATATAAAGCGGGATGGTATTTCACCAACTTCAATTGTCTGACACACACACATCTACTACAAGAACAATTGTTTCTTAATTACATACTTTTATTTGGAGTGTTTGTTATATTAAACAATGATATCCACATGGTGTGATATCTTCCTTATTCTATTGTCATAAAAGTGTTAATTCCCAATTTATTTAAATCAGCCGCGACATGTTTCTATTGTGAAGAGAAATAATTTGAAAACATCTTGACACTGCCAATAAAATAACAACCAAAAGAATAATTGTGATTATTGTTTAATTGTTTTAAGTAAGTTAACCCTAAAAGTGTTTTATGTTTCAAGGACAATATGTCAAGTGTCGTTTGAATAGAAGAAACTAGTTTTATCAGCTTAAAATTTTCCTGAGAATTCCTTTTCTTATGGTACCTAAAGTACAATTGAGCGAGTTGTCATGGGTTCAAGGTTACTCGACTGCATTTTGATAGATATTTACCAGAAAGTTTATACACTTGTATGTCCCTAGATGTATGTAGATCTATTTATAAACCTTATATTTTCCTCAAATAACACTCCACTGTAAAAATAAAATTTATATAAATTGGTGTTTTGGTGTTCTCAGTATAACACAGTGGCATTAAAAACTGAGATTGTTCTTCGCATTCAAGAAGCACGTGCTGTTAATTTTTACGAGTATTCTATGATAATACCAGTCAAAGGAACTTTCAATGGAAGGAAAATGTAAGCGGAACTCGGTCATCTATTTGTATTTTAACACGAAATAAACCCGTTTCTCTGATGTCAAAGTTAGAAAAGGATTTTTACTCAATTGAAAAGTGCGTTATGTCAAGTTAAACCATCAAAATAGACATAATGGTATCGGGCCCACCGCACTGCGTTGCAATCGAATTCGATATCGTGCCCGCAGTATTTTTTATTGAAGCGTTTTCAAAAGATTTTGGTAAATTGTTAATCTCATTGAGATTACATGCAGAGCTTAAATTTCAAATGTTCAATAAAAGCGAATTGTCGAACAGGTATTGAAGTAAAAATTGCTAATTGCTTTATCTCCTTATTTAAGACACCCTTAAAGTATTGAATTATGAAAAATATTTGTTCCTGTATTTAGCATCATTATTATGTTGTTATTTGTTCTAACCACTTTGAAAATTTAAAATTGAGCATGGATTTCAAACATTTGTTTTTGTTGTTGTTGTTTTGTATTTGTTGTTCTTTTATGGGAGTTGTTTTGTTGTAGTTGTTGTTTTTTTATACCTTTTAATTTTGTATGTTTAGTCGGTTTTGTTGTAGTTGTTTCGTTAAAGTTTTATTTTCAAGAAAATGTATCACCAGTATGTTGTTGCCGTGGGAAAATGCTGCACGTACTTTGCAATCTAGATTCAGAACGTGTCTTTGTTTTTAGCTAAAAAGTTGTTCCACATTCAAACCACAATCTCTGACGTTGTTTTGTATATTTTGCGATATTTAAGTACAAAAAAAATAGTTTTGCTAATAAATTTGAAAACTTCAGAAATAAATGAATTTTTCCACAACTATGTCATATTCAATTTTTGTCAAAAAGCCCTTCTGATATCCATGCTTTTATTTTATTAATGTATTAACAAGTTGTAAACCTTGCGGTAATTTATCTTGAAATTGTGCTTACATGTGTCCTTTAAGGCATATAACTGACCAATGTTGTAAATTTTTCATGTTGTGTTGGACTTTCTTTAAGGATTCTTATTTTCTCTATTTTATCGCCACATCAGCGTTGTTTGTGCCGTGTGGAGGCTGTAAAAAGTCGCCCTGTACATTCAATCAGAGATGTTATTTTCCTATCCTTAAAGATCGTTCGGCACGACATTATGTATGTGCTATGTTGGCTATTGTTTAGTCTTGAAACTAGTTGGGTGGTTCCATATTCTACCGTGAAATAAATACGAATCACCTCTTAGGATAGTTGCCTGGCTTTTTATTGTCTTTTGACGTCGTTATACTGTGATATTGCAGTTTTCTTCTAACCTCTGATCCCCTTTTCAAACTTCTATTTTTATTTAGCTCCCATTGTTATTCTCGTTTGGGCGCACGATTTTGTACTGGGGACCATAGCCGCTTTTCATGGCATTGGCACTAAGTGTCACATGAGTTCCATCATAACCGCCACTATAAATAATCTCAGATGTTTCAAAATTTCAAATAGTTAACCAGTTCTGTAAATTTTTGAATTGGACCCGGTGTTGCATCTTTACGAGTACCGTCGCATGAACAGCGCTCAATCAAAACCGTAGCCTGCAACATTTTCAATTATGTTGTGTTGGACTTTCTTTAAGGATTCTTATTTTCTCTATTTCAGTTCCGTATAGTGCCCATTAATGTTTAACTATGTATTTGAAATGGCTTGCTTACAACTCTTAAGTGATGATATATGTTTTTTGGTTTATGGATATTTGTTTTTAGTCAAACAGCAATATTAGTCATAAATTTTATCTATTTATTTATTTATTTACTTCTCGTTGTAGAGAACATGAAAAGTATAGCAGAACTTGTGGAGAACATTACGAAAGATGTCGTTGTAGAGAACATGAAAAGTATGGCAGAACTTGTGCAGAACATTACGAAAGATCTGAAGAAAAGTACTTCTGGTTTAGATGACTTAAAGTCGGTAACGGATAGGATCAACAGCAAATGTGAAGATGGACTTTCAGACATGTCTGAAAAGATTGCAGGTTTGGAGAAAAATATCGGAGAATTGAAACCTATCACAATTAACAAACGTAGGCTTTGTTCAAACTTAGATTGTCTGTTTATTAGATTTATTTGTTGTAGCTGTTGTTGTTTCCATTTAGTCCATGGATTTGGTAATATACGTAATAATTGTATCGCTGGTCGTTAAGCAGAGTTTTTGTCTTGTTCTTGTCCACTTAGTTGATTTACTAGTTTAATTAATGATGTTCGTGAAGTTGGTTCGCTGGTATAGGTGTGTCTGCCAGAAATATTTTGCCTACGTTAAGCCAAATATCAAAATGTAAATGATTGTTTAAGCTTATATATTGCCATTTCCTTATGTCTCCTGTGATACTCAGAACCAATTTCGCAGAATTCCATATAGTGGGATGGTTATGGGGCTGACCGTGTGTTCGCGGGTATAGTTGTGTCCGTTGGGAATACTCTGTGGTATTTTGCCGACGTTGAGTCGAAAATTGTACAATACATGGTCATTTCAGCTCATATCTTGCCAATTCCGGCTGGCCTCTGTGAGGCTGGTATATGTGTGTCCGTCGGGAATTTTTTCCCGACCTTAAGCCGAAAATCGAAATGTAAATTGTCATTTTAACTCATATCTCACCTTTTCTATATGTTTTGATTCTTAGGGGTCAAACCATGAGTAAGCTGGTATAGGTTGTCTGTTGGAAAAACATTGGCATTCTGCCGACTTTCGGTAATTTCAGCTCATATCTGACCATTTCTGGCTGTACCCAAAAAGCCCATTTGGGAATATTCTGGTTTTCTGTAAACAATAAGCCGATAAAAAGTGTAATATCTGCTCAAAGCTCGCCATTTTCAGCTTTCTCTTGTGATCCCAAGGTTCAGTTTAACAGAAACCCATAAACTTATATCATAAGGCACGAAAGACCAGCGAGGACATTTCAATTTCATGAATTCCCGATTATATTTTCGTGAATTCACGAATTCAACTTCGTGAGTTAACGTTTTCAACATACGGAAATCACGAATTTACGATTTTAACTTCAGGAATTCACAACTTCAACTTCATGAATTCACGATTTCAACTGCACGAGTTCACGATTTTAACTTCTCTAATTCACGATTTCAACTACATGAATTCACGGTTTCAACTTCACGAATTCGTGGAGATGAACCCGAGAATTCAAAAAGCTGAAATATCACCATCGGTCTTTGGTACTTAGGGGTCCGACTGTTTGTCGCTGTAATACTATGATATTGTGGTCATTTTGATCAAATATCAAAAATTCTGACTTGTTTCTATGAGTTGTAGGCTCAATTCAGCAGAATTCAACTGAAACTTTATATGGGCAATGTCTGTTAACACGTCTACGATACACCTATAACCTTGTGACAACCAGTTTCACAATAAAATATTCAATTTGACAAAAGTCGAGTAGTGACCAAAGGCTTGTTATTTATTAGGGATCGGGTTTTTCCACATTGCTGGAGTTGTGCAGAAGTCTTGTCCGATCGGAGTTGGATTGTGGTTCTGTGCTGTGTGGGTCTGCGGGAGGGTCGTATCTTCGGGTGCTGGGTGCCGTGCATCGTCAAGGTTTGCGTTTGGCTTTAGGTGCTTTTCGCGCCTCGCCTGTGGAGGGTCTGTATGCGGAGGCTTGGGAGCCGTCGCTTTGTCTTCGTCGAAAAAAGCTGTCGCTTCGGTGTGCAACTGGGGCTTCGTCTGGCTAAAAATATTGTTTTCAAACCAAGTTATACTGAAAAATTTGTTAACAAGCCAAGGGAAATTGGGCCGTTGGGCCTTCGTTTAAAAGATGATTTGGATGGACTCAAAATTGATCCAGACAGTATCCTTCAGGGTGGCGGTGGGACTGTTCCGCCTTGGGCTTATGGTTCCCCGAGGATAAATATTAACCTTTCAAATGTGAAAGGGTCGTCAGGTTCGCCTGGGCATTTCAAAGGGAAGTTTCTAGCAATTATTGGAGGGGGGGGGGAGCGTGAAGATTTTGTGCATATTTATACGGACGGTTCGAGTGGGGGTTGCAGGGACGGTTGTCATTCAACAGTCAGTATGTTTAGGTAAAGCATATCAATGATAACGAGTCTTGCTGTAAGATGAAGTTAAAAACTATTAAAATGAAATCAAAATCATGTACGACGTTATTCTATTTATTTTAAGCTGATCATGTTAACCTTTCCTGTTAGGGTTTTTTCGTTAATAAATTGCTAATTTTCTTTTTTAGGATCGTTGAATGTCCGTCGTCTGTCGTCCGTAGTCCGTCCACACTTGTTCGTTAACATTCTAGCGGTCACATTTTTTGTCTTAATCATCATCAAACTTTGTCAGGATGCTTGTCTAGGTGATAGCTCGGATGAGTTCGAACATGGGTCATCTCGGATGAAAAACAAGGTCACCGGAGCTAAAAATAGAAATTCCTTGTTAACACTCTAGTGGTCACATTTTTGCCTAAATCATCATCAAACTTGGTCAGGATGCTTGTCTAGGTGATAGCTCGGATGAGTTTGAACATGTGTCATCCCGGATGAAAAACTAGATCACCGGAGCTTAAAATAAAAAAAAAACCTTGTGAACACTCTAGCGGTCACATTTTTGACTCAATCATCATCAAACTTGGTAAGGATGCTTGTCTAGGTGATAGCTCGGACGAGTTTGAACATGGGTCATCCCGGATGAAAAACTAGGTCATAGGAGCTAAAAAAAGAAAAACCTTGTTAACACTCTAGCGGTCACATTTTTGACTTAAGTGTCATCAAACTTAATCAAGGTGCTTGTCTAGGTAAGTGCTCGGATGAGTTCGAACATGGGTCATCTCGGATGAAAAGATAGGTCACAGGAGCTAAAAATAGAAAAATCTTGTTAACACTCTAGTGGCTACTGTTTTGATCTAAATATCCTGTAAATTGGTCTGAAAGTTGTTTTGATTATTTCTAGGTTCGAATATGGATCACCTTGGGTTAAAAACTAGGTCACACTGCCCAAATATGGAAAAACCTTGTTAACATTCTAGTGGTCACATTTTTGACTCTATAATCAAACTTGGTCAGGATGCTTGTCTAGGTCATTGCTCGGATTATTTCGAACATGGGTCATCTCGGATGAAAAACTAGGTCACCGGAGCTAAAAATAGAAAAATGTTGTTTACACTCTAGTGGCTACTGTTTTGATCTAAGTATCCTGGAAATTGGTTTGAAAATTTGTTTTGATGATTTCTAGGTCAAGTTCGAATATGGGTCACCTGGGTAAAAAGCTAGGTCACACTGCTCAAATATGGATAATATTTGTTAACTCTCTAGTGGTCACATTTTTGAGTCACCTGTCATGAAACATTGTCAGAATGCTTGTCTAGGTAATTGTTCGGATATATTAAACGTGAACTTTGTTATTTGTGTAATTTTCCAATAACTATTTTTCAACTAATATTTTATAAATTTATATGGTTTAATATAATTTCGTCGAAGTGAAGAGCACCTTGAACAAACTAAAAAGGAAAAATCAAGAATACAAAACCGATTTTTCAGAATTTAGAAATTCAAGGGACGTTATAGAGAGGACAGAAATTGACAGGGGGTGTAGATTAACTAAGGTAAAAACCCTCAATTAAGACAAACATCATGACTGGACCAAAGTGGTCGTAATTCAGGGTTGGTCTCAATTGTGGATATTCTTATCATTGCTTACATACTTTATGACCATGACTTTATAACCTACAAATACAATATCAAAGTATGTTATAATATTTAATATGATTAGAGCAAAACATATTTCTGAAGACATCAAATATCAAATTCCATTTGGTGTGATTTAAATATTAATTATAATATGATGTGCATAATTCAACTATCATATAAGAAATGAATTCTTTACAAAATAAATGTGCCGAAAGCAAAATTAAACTACAGTGACGCACAATTTTACTTTCTCAACTTATTTCAAATAATAACCCAATAACTGTTGTTAACACCGTCATGCAAAAGAGCATTCAAACAGAAAATAACGAATTTGTGTTTAATTATAGGTAGGTGTTGAGTTTAACATCAGTGGTCTCAATAGTGGGTTAAAAAAAAGAGAATAAAACAAGGACTTTGGGACTGAATCTGGTTGTTTTAAAAGTGGATAAGCAGGGTGGTCTTAATTCTGAATCATGTTAACATAAAGAACAGAAAATTCCGTTCTTTTATTGAATGGTCTAAATAGCGGGGTGGTCTTAATTCCGTGATGGTTATCCGTTATTCCGTTATCTCCTGTTTGAGGAAATTTCTATTTAATCAAGGTCAAATTTTCAGAATTGAACAAAAATGGTAAAAGGATGAAAAATTGTGGTACTTAATAAATATTAGTACTTAAGAAGGCAGGATACCAGAGTATTCCCGACGGACACACACATACCCGCGGACACCCGGTCAGACCCCCTAACCATCCCACCATATGGGGTTCTGCGTAACTGAGTCTAATCCCCACAGGGGCCAGCCGCAATTGGCCAGATATGAGCTGTATAGTACGACTTTCGGCTCAACGTCGGCAAAATACCATAGTATTCCCGACAGACACACCTATACCCGCGGACACCCGGTCAGATCCCCTAACCATCCCACCATATGGGGTTCTGCGTAATTGAGTCTGGTCCCCAGCTAGGCCAGCCGGAATTGGCCAGATATGAGCTGTATAGTACGATTTTCGGCTCAACGTCGGCAAAATACCAGAGTATTCCCGACGGAAACACCTATACCCGATGACAACCGGACACACAATGCACGACACATATATTCTTCAATCTGCTGTCGGTTTTTTTCATCTAATGTAGCCTTGATTTCTGTTCTTCTGGCTAGCCGGAATAGCCGATGTGATAAGTAATTTGACACTACATTATTAGCCAATGGTCTTTTGCACAGGTTTTACCGTATCATCTCTGGCCAGCCTGTATAGCCGGAACCGGATTCCGGCTAGCCGAAACAGCCGGGAAAGACGAAAATGAGTTCCGGCTGTTCCGGCTGTCTGGCTTTACATGCTTCATTTAAAAGTGCACGTTTTAATTTCAATTTGTAAACAGGAGTAGTACGTTAAACCTTTGAGGAGATAATTATAATGTTGACATTATGAATACTCTAAATTAGAAAACCCGTGAGATCACACACGTGCGCGTTCATTTTTAGTAAGCCACCATGATGAAATAATAATTCTAAAGCCTATACTTGTATTAAGGAAACTATTTTTTGTTTGTTTTATTACAGCTTTGAGCAACAAATTTGAGCGGCAGACGTCTACAGGATGTCCAATAGATTTTATAAAACACGATAATTCCTGTTACCACATCTTCGCTACACCCACTTTAAAATGGTGGGAAGCCATGGTTAGTCACATTATGCCTCAAAAACAAATACATTTTTGGCATTCCAGAAAGCGCAAACATGAATTTTATAATGTTTAAATAATACAGAATGTTAGAGGCTTGTTACCAGAAAGAAGTAGCGATAAATTGATAAATGTGAAACAATTTTTAGCTCACCTAAGCTTGCTCAGGGTGAGCTTTTAGGATCGTTGAATGTCCGTCGTCTGTCGTCCGTCCACACTTGTTCGTTAACACTCTAGCGGTCACATTTTTGCCTCAATCATCATCAAACTTTGTCAGGATGCTTGTCTAGCTGATAGATCGGATGAAATCGAACATGGGTCATCTCGAATGAAAAAACTAGGTCACAGGAGCTAAAAATAGAAAAACCTTGTTCACACTCTAGTGGTTACATTTTTGCCTCAATCATCATCAAACTTGGTCAGGATGCTTGTCTATGTGATAGCTCAGATGAGTTCGAACAATGGTCATCTCGAATGAAAAACTAGGTCACCGGAACTAAAAATAGAAAAACCTTGTTAACGCTCTAGTGGTCACCTTTTTGACTCAATCATCAACAAACTTGGTCAAGATGCTTGTCTACATGATAGCTCAGATGAGTTCCGAGTTCGAATATGGGTCATCTCGGATGAAAAACTAGGTCACAGGAGCTAAATATAGAAAAACCTTGTTAACACTCTAGCGGTCACATTTTTGACTCAAGTGTCATCAAACTTAGTCAGAATGCTTGTCTTGGTATTTGCTCAAATGACTTTGAACATTGGTCATCTCGGATGAAAAACTAGGTCACCGGAGCTAAAGATAGAACAATCTAGTTAACACTCTAGTGGCTACTGTTTTGGTCTAAATATCCTGTAAATTGGTCTGAAAGTTTGTTTTGATGATTTCTAGGTTAAGTTGGAATATGGGTTACCTGGGGTCAAAAACTAGGTCACACTGCCCAAATATGGAAAAAAATTGTTAACATTCTAGTGGTCACATTTTTGACTCAATTATCATCAAACTTGGTCAGGATGCTTGTCTAGGTAATTTCTCGGATGAGTTTGAACATGGGTCATCTCGCATGAAAAACTAGGTCACCGGAGCTAAAAATAGAAAAATGTTGTTTAAACTCTAGTGGCTACTGTTTTGATCCAAGTATCCTGGAAATTGGTCTGAAAGTTTGTTTTGATGATTTCTAGGTCAAGTTCGAATATGGGTCACCTGGGTAAAAAACTAGGTCACACTGCTCAAATATGGATAATCCTTGTTAACACTCTAGTGGTCACATTTTTGACTCACCTGTCATGAAACATTGTCAGAATGCTTGTCTAGGTAATTGTTCGGATGAGTTCGATGGGTCAGGTCAGCGAACAAGGGCCATCATGACCCCCTTGTTAATAAAAGTAGCAAAATGTGAACAAAGTAGTATTTTGACTTCCATACAAAATACTAATGCACTATAAACTGTTCTTTTTGACAAAAAGGCAACAAATGAAAAAAAAATGCCCCAGGTAATTATCAATGAGTAACTATTTGGATACTATGAAAGTACACCAAAATTTAAATGCTTTTCAGAATTAAAAATAAAAAGCATTTCTGAAGCATAATGGGCCTTTAAAGAATTATTTATTAATTTATCTCCCTTTCCTTACAGACTTTGTCATTTATAACTGACGCTCACTGTGAGGATATATTTCATATTTTCTTTGTTTTTTCATTATTTTTAGGCATACTGTCAAATATATGGTGGCGGATCGGGAACACTGGCTACAGTGGAGTCCGAGTCGGAACAGCTGTTCCTTGAAAATAAACTGAAGGAAGCATTCCGTAAGTTTCTACACAGATTTTTTACTTAGAAATTCATTAACCGTATGGTTCTTTTTAGCTAAATCTAACAGCTAACATCAAAAGTTTGTTTGTATCAGAGACTAATTTCATTGGTAAGTATACATTCTGTTGCAATTTCTGACCAATCAAATACCCGAGCTATGATAATTTTTTTATAACCTTTGACC